TGCTCTCTGGACTCCCGAATGCAGTGTTTGACCTCACAGATTTGGAAGTGCTAAGACTGGAGCTGATTCCTGACGTGAGGTTCACTGCAAAGGTCTCCCAGATGACCAGCTTGCAAGAGCTGCATCTTTGCAACTCTCCGGCCAAAGTTGAGCAGACGGGCTTTGCTTTCCTCCGTGACCATCTCCGCTGCCTTCATGTCAAGTTCACCGACGTTGCCGAGATCCCGGCTTGGGTTTATTTGCTTAGGAACTTGAGGGAGCTTAACCTAATTGGCAACCTGAGCTCAGAAAACAACAAAATGATTTGCCTGGAGTCCATGCGAGATTTGAGGCATTTAAAGACGCTATGTCTGAAGAGCAACCTCACAAAAATCCCCACAAACATAACAGAGCTTTCTCCGCATCTGATTCGGTTAATGGTTCACAATGATGGTACAAAATTGCTGGTCCTAAACAGTTTGAAAAAGATGACAAATCTGATTGAAGTGGAGCTGCACAACTGTGAACTTGATAGGATTCCCCATGCCATTTTCAGCTTAACCAATTTACAAGAACTTGACCTGAAATCCAACAATATTCGAACCATAGAGGAGATCATCAGCTTCCAGCACCTCAAGAGGCTGACGTGCCTTAAACTGTGGCACAACAAAATAATCACCATTCCAGCCACCATCGGCCACATCAAGTCTCTGGAGGCTCTCTACCTCTCTCACAATAAACTGGAGACCCTCCCTGCTGCCCTGTTCACTCTGCCCAAACTGCGACACTTGGAGGTGGGCCACAACTCCATCTCTGTGCTTCCTCCAGATGTGGGTCTCCTCCACAACCTCCAGCACTTGGCCATCAACTCCAACAAGCTGGAGGGGCTGCCCAAGCCTCTGTTCAGATGCACCAAGCTTAAGGTGCTGTGTCTGGGACACAATGCGCTCACGACGCTGCCAGAGGCTGTGGGTCAGCTAGTCCAGCTCACTCAGCTGGAGCTCAAAGGAAACTGTCTGGACAGACTGCCTGCCCAGTTAGGAAATTGCCGCCTGCTGCGCAGAAACTGCCTAATCGTGGAGGACCATCTTTTTGACACACTGCCCGTGGACGCTAAAGAAAGTATCAGCCGAGAAACCTTTTAGCACAAAAGCCACCTAAAAAGACGGATAGCTTCAACCATTATTTTTGTATTGTATTATCCATGCATTTCTTGATTAGTATTTTTAGGCTGTCTTAGTTGCTTCTGTTTAAATACAGCATAAGAAAACAGAGCTTTTGTTATTGCGAAGTATGTATCTAATGCAACATTGTTATTATGCTTTTTTGATAGCTTTGAGATATTAAAAATCCAGCTTCTTTGTATATTATTCTATAGACCAAAACCATTTCAGTGGCACATTATATACATTTGTCATTATTGTTTTAGGTACTCAGGTATAAATGTAACCATTGGGAACAATCTTTTTGCCTTAACTGCTGCTATTTGTTTGTTTTGTTTTTTTTACAGCGAGGGCTTTCACAAACAACAGGACAAAAATTAATAATTTATGATTTCTTGTCAGATTTCTTTCTTTTTGTGTTGAAACTATCAAGGTACTTTTTAACTTGTTGAAATCAAGTAACCAGTGTATTTTTTTTTCTTCATACCTATGTAGCCGAAAGAATTTGAGTTGTAAACTCAGGTGGAGACCAGAAATGAACTTTTACCCCACTGTAGTAAAGATTGTATATGAAAGCCTCCAGTAATTCATTTGCACATTGAAACCCTAATGATGTAAAGATTGGTGAATGTCCTGCTGAGAGAACTAATAAAAGGGAAATCGGTTGACTAGCTTTTGAAACCATGTTTTGAAGTGTGATTTGAATCTGTTGTGTTGAGCTACTGGTCCCACATGTCACAATCATGTAAAGATGATGACATCTGCCTTCATTCTTGTCAATGTACTTCTGTGTAGGCCTGATATACGTGTTCTTCAGAGCTGCTGTACCACCTTGATGAGCCTCTGCTCAAAGTTCACATTTTTATTGTACAATAAAACAACAGTCCAGATTAACGTCTAATGATTATCGATCACCTTCAGGTTCATGACACTTGCTGCTGTCCTGCAGTGAAATCTGTAAGTTTGGAGATTATTCTTTTAAATATGTAAGGTGGATTAACAACAGTTTAAAACTGTATCATTGGAAAATGAACAGATTTTCTTTCAAAATTGACTTTTTTTTTCCCCACTTGTTTCCACTTTCACTGTTCTATTCTTGGACTTGAGTCACAGTTCAAAATGATCCTTACACTGGGCCTTGGTACAACCCCCTGACTTCAGCCTATAAAACCATCATCAAACTTTGTTCTAACTGGTTTTAAATAGAAGCTTCAATCAGCAGTCAGTCTGGGAGTGTTTTCTTAGCCGACCATGAATTGTGTAGCAGAAATCAAGACTCGTCAGAACAGGAAATGTTTTTCCAATTTTTTTTTGTGTGTAAATTGTGTGTAGACTCTGTTTTCTGTTCTTAGGTAAAAGGAGTGGCTCTTAGTGTTAAGTTCTGCTGGTGTAACCCATCTCTTTCACAAATGTGCCTTGAAGGTTGCTCTACTGCATACCTCGGTTGTAACGCTTGACTTCATGTCAGCTCATTCTCCTCCATCCTCTGGCACCAATAACCGTGCCACGATCAAAGTCCCCTATCATCCCCATTCGGTTTGCTTAACCATGTCTACATGAATATACCACAGGTGTACCTATTTAAAAACAGTATATACTTATAATTTTAAAAATAAATAGAATTTTAATACACTTCAAGTTTGTCACTGGCTTAAGTGTTATATTGACACTAAACATGCTTCTTATTGAATATGGTGTTGTTTGATCATCCCCCTTTTTTTTTTTAACCCCCTGGCATAAGTTTTTCACACTAACAAAGCTCCAAAAAAACTTCCCAAAAAATACAAGCTAATGGCAAACTCAAGTGTTTGTGTTTAATCCAACAAACCAGTAGGGAGATAAACCTTTTAAGAACAGTCTATGATTTATTCGAAGTTAATTTGGATTTTCTTTCTGACCTGGCTCACACTTGTTTCTGTTTCTCGTTGGATTCGCAGCAAAAAAGATCATGGCTGCAAACCTCCTGATTCTAATGGAGCTGTCCTGTATGAAGTACATCAGTTTCCTCTCACAGTTATTTCAGGTTAATTAGTGATTCTAAAATGGTACTCGTAGATGTGAGTGGTTGTCTGCCTCTCTGTGTTAGCCTTGTGAAGATGGCCAGTCTGCCCACTGTTTACCCATCTCTCACCCTGTGACAGTCCCCACAGCCCTGAAAGCAGTTAAGAAAATGAGCACAGGGACAGCAGAAAATATACAGGAAGAACCAAAAATATTAAGGGTGGCTCGTTCTCAGTAAGTATTTCATTCCAGCTTTTTATTATACCCTTGTTTGTTTCACTCTACATTTTTCCTCCTGGAAAAACAGTTTTTTTCCCCCTCCACCCTTTTCTGCTTCCTGTCTGCAGCAGAAACTCAAGAAAGATTTAAAACGTCCCTTAAGGGCTTGAGTACAAAGGCCCCAGAGTCACGGCTCTTTTGTTAATGTTGCCAAGAGACAACTGACAATGTTACATTGACCTCAGCAGTTCCCAAGTAATGGTATGATCCCAGTGTACTCTCCAGTGAAGTTAACTGAGTTCACATAATGTGTTTTTAGTCATCCGATGTCTTAAAGTTAATGACTGATAAAGTAAATGTCTTGAGTTCCTCCATATCGTCATGCACGAGATATTTTCTGAAATGTGAATCCTATCAGACCGTTGAGAAGCAGGGGCTAGATTTGGTGCTGTACTGCAGACAAGTAACAATGTGTTTGATTCCTCCAAAGGAAGAACAATAACAGCACTGTTTCTAGGTAGGTCTTGACCAGATTTTTCTGAGAATTATGAGAACACACCTGTCCTTGAGATATCCTCCTCTGGAACTAAACATGCCCGCATGTAGTGTCATGTTTCTGTCTGCCTGTGCTGACACACATTCATTCTTAAACAACTTCTTTCAGATTTCACACTGCTGTCTGTTTAATCCCCTCTTCTTATCTGTAAGTTTTTTTTAAACTTATAAACACTCAAAGAATTCAACATTGTGCATTCATCTATATATAATTAGATGAGCAAGCAGTCTACAAGACCCTACTGAGGTCCTGCTTGTTTTAATAGACTTAAACACAGTTAATACTGGAACATTTTTAAACTAATCAAAAAAGGAGATTTTTTTTTAAAGCTGTGTTTGACAAATGACAAAAAATTAATATGCACAGAGAACGTGTTATCTTCAGTAGGCTATGTGTTCAGTATAAGACGTGCGACACTGAAACATCTGAATGTAGTTGTACTTCTTTATAGAGTTAAAATAAATTGAATTCAAATTGATATCTTCTTTGGGGAGCATTTTGAATTTCTGGTGACTGTAAAGACAATTTCAGTACAGTAAAATCATTGTCTCGCTGGAAGCAGTTGTCAGACAATGGGTACACTGTGTTCATAAAGGGACAGAGATGAATTAGCAACAATACCCAGGTGGATTGTAGCATTTAAATAGTCCTTAGTTGGTAATAAGGGGTCCAAAGTGTGCCAAGAAGATTTCCCCACATTTTCTTTTTACGTTTGTTAGCCGCTTGGCTGTGATAGTAAACAGTAGACACTGATGTAGCTTACTGAATCTTTTGGACTGTGTTCAGCACAATATTAATTAGTCATTGTCAGTTGCTGATTTGTCCTATTTGCATACTATGCATACTCTCGCTCTCTCTTCATATATATATTTGTGTGTGTGTGTGTGTGTTTATCTTGTTAAATTCAGTATGGTTCCCATAACATTTTTTACAGTAAAATATGTTAATGTACAATCCTTAATATAAGGAGGCGGGGTGGGGGGGTGCCAGAGGGGGTGTTCGCCCAGGGCACCAAACAGGCTAGGACCGCCACTGATGGCTACATTGACTTTCTGGTATGTGATTGACTGATTACACATTTTTGCCCATGAGCAGTTGATTAGAAATGCTTATTCGGGTATCAGGTGAATGTAAGTTATTATGAAAGGGTTTTTACCTCTCGAACCCACCTAAGGTCGGATCAGAATGAATGTGATCCATGAATCGATCCATTCTCTGCTGCACTTTGCTACCATCTGTCGGCTGCTCTAAGTATCATCTAAACAACCTTTTAATAGGCGAACCAGCTTTAGCTTTACCAACAAAGCATATCCTCTATTTTTTTTTTTTAAATAATGAACCGTTACAATGTGGAAACGTTTCAGGCCCAGGCAAGAAGCAAAGGAGCTACTTCAGGATTTAATAAAATGCCGACTACACGGTATGTGGAGTCTGCACTCTTTAAACGGGGCTAAAATTGTTATTTGGGAAAGTTTCTGATTTACAACCCACATTAAGGTGCCTGTTAATTCAATTTCGGACTCAGTTTTTCTTTTGTCGAGTGGGTGTTAACGGTGCAAGCATTTAATTCTACCAGCTAACGGTGCATAAAGCTTTGTTGTCAACAAATTGTTGTGAGTCTAGCTGTGCAGCTAAAGCTAATAGCAGGAATGGCTAGCCGGTGCTACATTCAGTGTTAAATGTTGCGTTTACGTGCGTTGACGTTTTATGCTTATTTTTGTTTCATTCGATGAACAGAGTACCCCAAGACTTTATAGATGCTATGAAACGCATATCGGGAGGACAACCAGACATGGCTGCTAACACTCAAGCAGCACAGAAAGGTACAGGTAACCTCTATGCATGCAAGAACGAACACGCACACGCGTCCTCACAGAGGTGCTTTATTACTCTTTAGCTCAACGCTTCCTTTGTCTTTGCGTCGCAGATAACCACTCTGCAAATACAACTGCTGTTTTTGTTTACCTTTTGCCTGATTTGATTAATTTCTGAGTCTAATACGTGTCTTTGAATTATAATGAAAAAGATTTCAGGAACTAGGGCAGTGCAGACGTCACCATCACAAGTTCATTAGTAATCAATTACACCTAGAAAACCCAAAATGTAATGTCCCCATATGAGAACGCAGAGGCTCTGAAAGTTACCGCTCACTGGACATTTTATCAGGTACACCTTAAAAGCACTTTTGCCTTCAGAGCTGCGTCAATCCTTCATTGCACAGTTTCAATTAGGAGTTGGAAACATTTCTCAAAGATTTTTCTCCGCATTGACAATGTAGTGTCAAATAGTTGCTTCGTACTTGTCGGCTGCACATCCATGATGTGAATCCCCCGTTCTGCCACATTCCAAGGCTGCTCTGCTGGATAGAGATCTGGTGACTCCGGAGGCTATTTGAGTACAACGAACTCATTGACTTCATCAGTAATCAGACTAACTAGATTACATATCTGGAGGCGTGTATTCTCTGAACATACGTTGCCTTCATTTTTCATTTTTATACTGCAGCTTCATCCTCAGTTGACAAATGGAAGTCTTCATTCAAACCAATCGGTGATGAAGATGAAGACTCTCAGGACAAAAGCAGCACAGAAAAGTGAGTTGTGTCTCCTGTAGCCTCGGTCAAGGCTGGCCCACATTTGAGGCTTCATATTTTCATGTAGCGAATTAAATTGTAGAAATAGTGTCTGTCTGCCCAATGAAAGCCAAAACATTTTGTTTAATGTGTGAACGTTCAGTCATTGTTCCAAAAAAAAAAAGAAGAAAAAATTAATTAATCCCTCTTACCCTCATCTTAGGACTGGGCTTTATGACCCTTACAACCCTTTGTCGTCAGACTCTGAACCTGAGATGCCACCGGACCAAGACCACAAACTCTCCCCACCCACTGAGGATAACAGTGTGGAGCGTCAGTGTTTAACTTCAGCGAGAGACTGTCCCGAAGGCCGACACTGGGGCTCAACCTACTCCAAACCAGGAAGCGGACCCCTAGACAGAGGAGAATTTGGCACTGGAACCAGACCTATAGAAATCCCAGGTCTCAGTCCAGGAATTAGAAAGCATGAACAACAGATTTATAGCCCAGAAGCTGAATCACTTAATTGTTCAAGCTTTGGCTCCTTGAGTGAAGTATTGGGCCAGAGAGGTGGCACCCCTGACAGGCGTATTCACAGCTCCTCCACCCAACAGTTTCCTGTGCCTTATGGACAGAGAACCAATGGGGAGGAGACGATAACAGTACCAGGATATAAGATGGAGGTATAGATTTTGAGAATAAAGAATCATTTTTATGCAGTTTGGCTACTGTGGTTCAACTGAATCCAGTGTGATAACCGATCCTTTCTGTCCTCTTTAGACTATTAGATTATCCCCACCGAGGTCACAGGACTATCAGCATCAGGTGGGCTATATGAAAAAAGGTAATGGTAGCTGGGTTACCTTGTTTGTCTCACTATTTCAAATTAACAGCAAGAAATGGCTGAAAGGACTAGATGCTTTAATCACGTCACATTGTCTGAGTAATTCTCTGTATTATATTGTTCTACAGGACGGGACCAAGACCTACCTTCTACAAAGGTGACAAGGAACATGCGCCAAACTGTGACTTTGGAAAAGTAAGCACTGTTCCTTCTGATGTCAAGTTGACAAAGTGAAATCACATGTCCTCTCACCATGTACTCTAATACAGTTTAGTTAAGATGTTGCAGGTCAGTCTGTAACTTTGCCAGTGTTAATAATCTGTCAGACGCACTGAGTCCAGCTGAGTTTGCGGAATTAGTTTTTGCTGCAGCTGAAGTTTGTAATGCTGGAAGTATTCATAGTGATGTCAGCATTTTGGCCGCTTCCATGTTGGTTTTATAGAACCAGAAGTAACCATATTTGTACAAGTGCACAGAAGCAAATTCAGTTAGTAAGCTGACGAAACGTTTCTCCCACTGAACACGCTAATTATACTTTGTACCTCATCCAGCTGAAGGACCAATAAGCTCAAGTCACGTCATCGTGAGGGATCCATCCCTTCACAAACAAAAGCTTCTCTACTCCGAGTGTTCAGAATTTATTCAATTTTTCATATAAAGCTCATCAAATAGGTCCTCGCCCGAAATGTGCTCAAGGTCTAACCACATTCGGCGTTGACCTTTTAATTCGCATTATCTTGTGTAATACAGCCAACTAATAATAGACCTTTCTCTCTTTTTCTGTACTTTACACACATCACAATAACCTGTGACTTGTGAGTCACGGGTTTTTGCAGTAAGCTCGATGAGCTGCGTCATTGAAATTCTGGTTTCGGTACCACGCTGTAAACATGTTCATTTTCTTGCTAAAGCTGGAACTACAGTTTGGCACTTCCACCTTGGCTTCCTCTTTCACCCCTGAAAGTTACCACAAGACGTTAATACGTTAAACCTGATTGACTAAACTCTACAGCTCTACTGACTAAAGCCCTGCTAAGTCCTGATGAATATGAGCTGTAACGTAAAAACAAATTAACTTTCCTTATTACACAGACCTGTTCCTATTTTGTTATGTACATTTCCATCACAGCAGTTTTGTCGCTCTTTTGTATATGTTAGGAGGCAAGAGACTCTGAGTTACCTCAGGCAGTGCATGTGTTGTAAAGACATATTTAAAATAAGCAATATGTAGCAGATCAGTTGAAGAGTGGGACTGAAGCACTACGCTGATATGGTTGTTTCAGATGCTGCTTTGTATCATAATATTTTCCAGGTTTGACCTTTTACCTCCTACTGGGGCAGTCTGGATTAGTTAATGCCCAAATATTTTTAAATTGCCCAAATCATTTTTCTTCTAGAACGCCCATCACTTGTGACCTTTGTGAGGTTGAGCTTGCCAATGGGCAGGAGCTGCAGGATCATTTGGACAGCAAATGTCACTGGGACACCCTGGAGCACATTCAGCAGAATAATAAATACGATGACGTAATGATAGCGTTCCTTCAGGTAAGATCACTGACAGAAACGGTAAAACGAATTTCCCAGTCATGTATTCTGGCTTCTGTATCATAAGTTTGCACTCTGCATGTACTATGGATCCATAGATAGATGTCCAACAGATCTTTTCTTTTTTGCAGGAAGTGATGCTGTATAAGAGCCATTATTGTAGCCAAGCGGTAGAGGACAACGCTCTTCAAAGTAAATACATGTTTTGAAACGAAAAGTCATGATGTTCATGACAGACTAAAAAAGAAATACTTTCATCCTACTCACCCCTATCGTGTTGTCAGCTCTACAGGAAAATAACCACATGACAAAGGTGGAAATGTTTCATTGTGCTGCTTGCAAAGTTTACATATCCACATCTGTTGCTGAAGTGCAGGCTCACATCACCTCTGAGGAACACCTCTCTCGCACAAAGGTAATGCTGCTGTCCTATAAGTGCAACAACACAGATGTGTTTTCATTAAATATCCTTTTTGTTTACTGTGATTGTTTGACTTTCCCGAAGGAGTTTGAAGTGCATAGGAGACATGCTTGCCTCAGCAAAGCAGAAGCCATGATGAAGGAGCTCAAACCACAGTTTGAACACTTCCTGAAGGTATTTTGCAAGAGATTTCCAAACTATCTAGAGTGTACACAGTGTGCTGGCAGAGCTGCTTAACATTAATCTACCAAGCCAAAAAAAGCAGCTGGGGCCTTAGACTTTTTTAATATTTAAACAGTCGTTTTTACAAAGTGGTTATTTTGACCTAATATTTTCTTAAGTTGTCCAATTGTGGACTAAGTGTACTCAAAATTCAATCTTCTACATGATGCTTCTAAAACGAGTACCTGAAGCTATCCAGTGTTTGGACAATAATAGGATTTTGGTAATTTTGGCTCTGTTTAAGGTGGCAGTGGAGTTTGAGTGAAACTATGAAGATCTGCAGTTTCAAAGGTTTTAACGAAAGTATTGTGTCCGCTTTTTAGAAATTGCAGACATTTTCAAGAGGCTCAAAAGTAACTCGACAATTGATTGACTAGGAGTTTCATGGCCAGTTTTGAGGCCTGTTTACTCCGTGACAAATTAACCAGGTAAAAGATCTGGAGTTGGTTTCAATTGTTGCCTTTTGTAGGCTGGAATTCTAAATATGAGGTCCAAGGAGTTATCAGTGTTAGAGACGGAGGGCATCTCTTAGGGTGCCAAACAGAAATAAACCTTTCAGAGAGATAACATAACAAAAGGAAAAAAAGAGAGAGTGGCTAAATCAACAGTCTGTCTTTCCTTGGTTTAAAAAAACAAAACAAAACCCTCTCATGTAGTCAAAGCTAGTCAGGCAATGAAGTGAAGAAAGTCTGATATCAAAATTCATCTTGTAAATACAGAGGATTTGCAACAAGGTGCACACCACCGGTTACGGTTAAGAACAGACAGGTTAGGATAAACTTTGTCAGAAGGAGTCTGCACAGTACTGTAGAAGGTTAAATTTGCGGTTTTGTTAATACTTATTTGTAGCTTCCACACCAAAATTTGATACATAAAAACCCCCCGACTTGAATACAGAAGTAATTTGAAAAACATTAGCTTGCTTCTTTGTCTTTTATTTAGTACAACTGGAAAGAAATCTTTTGACAGATTAAACCAACATGAACTTAAAGAACAATAATGGGAAGAGAAATATACGGGCAAGCTCATCCAAATCAAATGTGGTTGTTGTAGTGTTAAGATATGGGGATGTATGGCTGCCTGTAGTTTTTATTGATGAAATACCTACTGATAGAAGTATCAGGATGAACTGTGAAGTGCACACGGCTATACTCTCTGCTCTAATTTAGACAAATGCTGCCAAACTGCTTAGACAGCATTAGACAAAAGCAACCCAAGAGTATTAGTCACCTGATCTCAAAACAACAAAGCATGTTTTACAGGTAAAACTGACAACAAACAGGTAAAGACCCACAATTAAGCAGGATCTGAAGGCAGCTGCTGTAAAGGCCTTGTACAGGATCTCAAGGGAGGAAACAAAGTATTTGAGGACGTCCATGGGTTTCTAGACTTCAGGCAGTCATTGAGTACAAAGGATTTTTATCCATGTATTAAAAACAATCCTTATATTTAGAGTTTGTCCAGTTACCTTTGAGGCTCTGTAGATGGAAGTCTGTGTATGAAACTGGTTCTATTTCCTAAACACTTGAGGCATAATTTTTGTTAAACCTAAGCTGAAAGTCTTCACTTTATATTTGGGCCTGGTATTATCACTTTCCTTATGTTTCTATACATTTATCCAGGATCTCTGGGCTACTTGGATCTTAATCAGTTATACAGATGTCATCTACTGCATGATGTATTTTGATATTTTTAAGTAATATGAGACTATTGGGTAGATGCGAATGATTTTTTTTACTTACCAAATTTAATGAGTTCAAACTTAATACTAAAATGAATTGGCTATTTTTTAAATAAAGATAAAAATCAGTTCTTAATGGGGGACAGTTCATATGCAGAAGATATTCATGATTCATATTAGTTCAAATAAGTAAAATATGTCTTATTAGTGTGTAGGTAAGTGCAGGGAATGTAATCTTCTGTCTTGCAGAGTTAACTTTAATGCACTTTTGTGTGAAGTGAGACATCAAAGCCAAATTGAAACGCAACATTGTACATAAAAGCATAACTTTATCTTTATGTATCAAGTGAAACGTAACTGAAGCCATAAATCTTATTAATGCATTTGTTTTCACTCTCCGTACACTAGCTCGATTAGTAGAAGCAAATGATAGCCTGCAGAGCTAGGAGTAATTACTAGTAATTAAAGTGTGTGCACTCAGCATGTCTGGAGCTCTACAGATGTAACTAAACTAATTCTTTTCTTTCAGGGTGGCAGCCCATTCGAATGACAGAATTACGTGATGTTGTCATGAGACTGTTTACACTGAGATGCTGCGGATGAAGAGCAGTCGACTTTACTCTTCATTACCACACAAAACTGCTGTCCCAGTACTCGTGTCTAATGCTGACAGACATGCTGTTGTGGGCCTGTGAACACAATGCAGCTTTTCTTTGTTTATATACGGATTCCCATTTCTCATCTGCCTTGCGTTGCGCTGACTACAGCTGCTCCCAGACGATCTCCATCTGGGTGCTTGTAGAAGGTTAAACTTGCAGTTTTGTTAACACTAATTCTTTGTACCGTCCACATCAAAATATGCTACGTTAAAAAACGAAAACAAAACATGAATGCATAAATAATTTGAAAAATGTCAGATTGTTTCTTTGTCTTTTATTTAGAACAACACAAATGTTTTAAGCATTGTATCTGTGTGATATAGTACATTTAAAATTAAATTATTTCAAAACAGTATATTTAAACATTAAATATAGGTGACATGTATGAAGGGCTTGGTCAGCACGGGTTGTGCGTGTTAGGTCTCTCTCTCTTTTTTACCTCTTTTCTTCCTCAACCACCTTCAGTTTAAATCTTGTGTTAGAAACAATGCAGTTACTGAAATACTATAAAACACTCTTTCTATGCATGACAAGTTTTCAGACATTTTTTTTCTTTTTCATTTTTTCCTCTTTTTTTTGTTGTTGTTTTGCACTTTCATTCAAAATATTTCTCTCAGTAACTCTGGCCTGAAAAGAGACTGTGGGTTTTGATTTGACCGTGTTGCAATACAAAGGAAACATGACTTGATGTGAATATTGATACAGAAGAGAAGTGCTCCCAGAAACTGACTCAAACCATGAGAAATCTGAGGTAAAGGTTGTCTTCATTAGAAATGGATTCCACACTACATTACTGCATAAAACAAAACAGTCTGTCCACTTGGAATTGTATTCCAAAAAAATGGACCATGTAAAAACAGACAGGGTAACAATATCCAAAATAATTGATTTTTTCATCTGTCCAAATGTGTACAATATCTCAGGCAATATTGTACTTTTGGCCGGTAATTTGTTGACTAAAAAAACCAAAAGTGAACATCGAATATACATACACATACAGTCTAGTGAAATCTAAAAAGGTCCCCACTGGCCTCATGAGACAGCATGTGTGACTGTCAAGGAGCCATCTTGGTCAGTCTTGAAGGTTGGGGTGTCTGTGGGCAACGAGGTGACCTCTACCATGCCTAGCCCAGTGTGAGGGACGCTAGTGTTCATTATGTGTCTTTGTAAATGTTTTATCCAGTCCTCCTGAACTGACAAGGGACCTTGGAAGACCAGGTCACAGAACCTGGAAACACAAAGAAATGCAAAACCAGGCAACCAGGTTATCTGGCAGCTTGAGACTGGGGAAAAATGAATTGGGGATTAAAAAAACAACAAAAAAAAGCAAACACATTACCTGCAGGTGAGCCTGTACATTTCCTCTGGTGTTTGAGTTAAGGGCAGTGTCTTCTTTTTTGAGCCAGGCCTTGAGCGTGTCCTAACTGCTTTACAGTCAATCGCTGAAAGACAGAATTTCATTTACAGCCCAACATTAACACTACAGTATATTTAACATTATAATGGATGAAAATATCTAATGAACACTGGAAAATTGTCTAATGACATTTCAGCAAGAGTTCTTTGAATGGGCTTTGAATGTGTGGACGTTTTTGACTTTTGCTGTATTATGCATGGTCGAGTGTGGCTAAGAAAGGGCCCAAGATCAAAGCGTGATGATGTGCGCCTGCAGGAAAACTGGGTCCTGACAACTTGAAGCCACCAAGAGGTCGCTCTGCAATTAAAATCTCTGCTAAAGCTCCAAAAAGCTGATGCCCTCCTACATTCTTACCTTGGGGAGCACACAAATAACCACTGGTGGACTAAATATAACTAAGATTTGGACATCGCAGCTCCTTTTGGTTTCCAGCTACACAGTTTTATCAGGCTGAGATTTCTGCTGCTGTTGGTGCCTGAAAGTTTGTGAACCCTTTGCATAAATATGACCTGCTGCCAGAATAAGAGATCCCAGTTAAACAAGATAAAAAATATTACATCATTCCTTTTATTCAATAATCCAACGTTACATAAGAGAGGTAAAACTATGTGCTTTTTGCTTTTGCGGGCTGCTCTAACATTTTTGCTAGGTTAGGGGTTAGGATTCTGACTTGGCCGCATAGTCTTTATTCTTCTTTAACCTTTAAGTACAAATATTAGCGATGAAGGTCATTGTATTGCTGCACGACCTACTTTCTCTCTCGAGATTTACATCGCAGACATATGTCCTGGTTTTCCTTTGGAATTTGCTGGAATAATTCAGAAGTCATTGTTCCATCAGTGATGAAGAGGCATCTTGGCCTAGATGCAGCAAGCAAGGCCCAAACCATGATACAACCATCTGCTCCTCTCCCTGCCACGCACAGCTTTGCTGTTTGGTGTTCTCCTTTTAACAATTTAATGAACCTGAACATTTGCCAGCATGGAAGTGGTGTTACCCTGGGGTCCTTTATGATCATATGAACTACACACCTTGCTCTTGGGTGATCTTTGTGGGTCGACCACTCCTGGGGAGTGTAACAGTGGTCTTGAATATCCTCCATTTGTACACAATTTGTCTGACTGTGGAACGGTGGAGTCCAAACTCTTTTGAGATGATTTTGTAACCCTTTCCAGCTTCATGAGCATCAACAATCCTCTTCCTGAGTTCCTCAGAGAGCTCCTTTGTTCTTGGCATGATGCCGTTCCACAAACACAGTTAGATTCTTTTTTTTTTCCTTTTCTTTTTTTAAACAGAACAGGCGGTGCACTCACACCTGATTGTAATCTGGCTGATTGAAAACATCTGACTCCAATTTCAGATTAACTGATAATCCACGAGGTTCACATACTTAATGCTAAAATAATACATTTTAGGACTTGAAAATCTGAAGTTGTTTTTGGTCACATTTATGCAGAAATCTATTAAATTCTAAAAGGTACTTTTCTTTGGAGGTTTTAACCAACAGTAGAGCATTTTTTATAAGTAGATGCTCACTTTCTTTGCATTGGCTACACTTGAAAACAAATATTTTGAAGGTAATGCGATCTGATGTGATGCTAGTGTAAAAAGAAAGCAGAAGGAGACTTCTTTGTGGTAAATGCTCCAAGACCAAAGATTTTTTTTACATTTTTTTTTTTATTTGAAGTGGAACTGCTACTAAAACTGTGGTCAACACTGCAGAAAACAGATTGGCTTTTGCAACTATTCCCAATCTTCCAAAAAGGGTAAAATGAGATTATTCAGTACCAGGAGAAGCCAAAGAGTATGCACAGAGGAAGAATAAAATCACTTGTTTTGTGAGCCCAGCTGTTTTGAGTTTTGATGTTTTTGTTACTGATAAGACCTAGTCAGGAAGAAGGCTAAGACAAAATTCTGGCGTGAAACTGGATTAACAGTTTATGGGGACATAGTAGTGTGAATGGTAAGTGTAATTGTAAAGGTTTTAAGAAGAAAGCATACAGGGCGTAGTCTGACTAAAGATTTTACTAGTTGCACTTACTGGTTCCCTCGAGTAAGGCGATCCTTTTTCTTTTTGCATATGCCCGGAGGTGATTTGACAATGCAACACCACTGTGGAACGTTGCGTTGCAATGGATGCACACCTTCCTGTTGAATTCACCCTTCTCTGCGAAAAGACAAAATCAATAAGAAGAAAGTAAATACAGAGGTTTAGTGAGGTTTACTTATTCGTCAGAGGTGTTGATGAATTGTAGAAACAGACACTGGTAAGTTTATCATGTCTAAAATCAAGCTTTCAACAGTTTTCATCACATTTCAGCAAATAAGCTGTCTGTGACAAAAAAGAAATGTACTTGGAAATGCCTAAGTGTCAATACTTTATTTAATAATTACTATTAACTGCAAGGCAATAAAACAAGAATAAAGCTAATCTGTATTTCGTGTAACAGGCACTTCCGTTTCATCCACAATACAAGGTACAGTGGGGCAAAAAAGTATTTAGTCAGCCACCGATTGTGCAAGTTCCCCCACTTAAAATGATGACAGAGGTCAGTAATTTGCACCAGAGGTACACTTCAACTGTGAGAGACAGAATGTGAAAAAAAAATCCATGAATCCACATGGTAGGATTTGTAAAGAATTTATTCGTAAATCAGGGTGGAAAATAAGTATTTGGTCAATAACAAAAATACAACTCAATACTTTGTAACATAACCTTTGTTGGCAATAACAGAGGTCAAACGTTTACTATAGGTCTTTACCAGGTTTGCACACACAGTAGCTGGTATTTTGGCCCATTCCTCCATGCAGATCTTCTCGAGAGCAGTGATGTTTTGGGGCTGTCGCCGAGCAACACGGACTTTCAACTCCCGCCACAGATTTTCTATGGGGTTGAGGTCTGGAGACTGGCTAGGCCACTCCAGGACTTTCAAATGCTTCTTACGGAGCCACTCCTTTGTTGCCCGGGCGGTGTGTTTTGGATCATTGTCATGTTGGAAGACCCAGCCTCGTTTCATCTTCAAAGTTCTCACTGATGGAAGGAGGTTTTGGCTCAAAATCTCACGATACATGGCCCCATTCATTCTGTCCTTAACACGGATCAGTCGTCCTGTCCCCTTGGCAGAAAAACAGCCCCATAGCATGATGTTTCCACCCCCATGCTTCACAGTAGGTATGGTGTTCTTGGGATGCAACTCAGTATTCTTCTTCCTCCAAACACGACGAGTTGAGTTTATACCAAAAAGTTCTACTTTGGTTTCATCTGACCACATGACATTCTCCCAATCCTCTGCTGTATCATCCATGTGCTCTCTGGCAAACTTCAGACGGGCCTGGACATGCACTGGCTTCAGCAGCGGAACACGTCTGGCACTGCGGGATTTGATTCCCTGCCGTTGTAGTGTGTTACTGATGGTGACCTTTGTTACTTTGGTCCCAGCTCTCTGC